GGCTAATTCCAGGCTACCAGGGTGACATCATTGAAAGCGTTTGGGGGAAAAAAGATGTGCCGTCACCCCTTACATAGCAGTTTCACTGTAATAGAATACAATAGATGTAAATAACCTCAGGATCACACATAAGAACAAAACGTAAAATAATTAGGACGTGACGACTATTATCTTTGCTTTAAATGTAATTTATTTAATTGTATGTTTGCATAATTTAATTTTTAATGATGACTGTTTAACAACCAGCTCCAAAATCCCTGAGACTTCAACAATCAGCTTGTGAGCTGGCTCCAGCAGGCTGCTATCATTGTCAAACCAGTTTTTTAGAAAGGGAAACTGAGGTTCAGGAAGACGTTCACACAGACATCGATCCCAGGCAAGGGCTGAACGCACGGCCAGGGCAGTGTCCCTCTTGCTTCCGCTCCACCCTGGTCTGGAGGGGACGCCCGGTCCCCGCGGCACTGTGTGATCTCAGCAAAGCCCTTGGCTTCTCTGGTCTCAGTTTGCCTCGCAGAATGCTTGCACCAGGCTCTTTTGCACCTACTTCAGCCCCACTAGGAAGGCAGCATGCAGATCCTCCTCCTCCCTTTACAGAAGAGTGAAACTGAGGCCCAGAAAGAGCCAGTGCCTGTCCTGAGTCCCAGAGCTGGACACAGAGTCCTGGGACCTCAACTGGGTCGCAAAGGAAAGGAGACTGCAACCCACAACCTTGGGGTCTGGAGTTTTCTAGGAGGTGGGAGGCAGCATGGCTAGAGAGGTTGGTCACCCTTCCTCAGTGGCTCCGCCCAGACACCGTCCCCGCAAGCATCCTTAGCCCGCGGTCCCCAGAGCTTCCTGGACTGGCGAGGAGGCGGGGCTGGGAGGGAGAACAGGGAAGCGCCGCCGGCCTGGTTGGGGCTTTGGGGGCTTCTCTGTCAGTCCTGTCTCTTTCTCTCCATTCTCTTCTCGGGTCTCTGCACCTCCGTCCCTCCTTCTGTCTCTGTGCGTGGATCGATCAGTCTCTGTCGCTCTCTGTGTCTCTCACCCTGTCTGTCTGTCTGTCTTTCCCAGCGTTTCTCCCTCCTTCTGCCTTTCTGTCTTTTGGCCGCTCCGTCTTCTGGCTGCCCGTTCATCTCTTTGTGTCTCTGTGTTTCTCCCTACCCTTGTCTCTCGATCTCTTTGTGTCTCTTTGTGTCTCTCTTTCTGGGCCTCCCCGTATCTGCGCCTCTCAGTATCTTTCTCTGCGTCTCTGGCACCGTGCCTCGGCCTTTCTCACTCCTTCTCTTCCGGTGAGTCTCTGCTCTCCGGTGAGAACCTGCTCCGAGACGACGCGCCCAGACCTGCCTCCGCCCCCAGAACGCCAGGCCGGCCCCGGCCTGCGCCTTTAAGTGCCGGCGGCGGGGGGCGGGGTCTCTGTGGCCCCGCCTCGCGCGCCCCGCCCCCTGACGTCCCTTCCTCCCCAGCCCCTCCGCCGCCTCCCTCCGCCGCCTGGCCTCTCGACCCTCCCCCACTCACTCCTTAGCCCAGCCCGACCCCTGGGGGCGCCCCCCTCGCGGGACCCCTCTCTTGTCCCTCTGCAGACCGCTTCCGCTCGGGTCTCTTCTCTCCAGGAAGCCCCCTCCCCTGCGTTGCAGGAGCCCCTCCCTTCTCCGGCGTGTTCTTAAGCCCCTTCCCCTCCAGGCCGCCCGCATCCGACAGCTGGCCCCCTCCCGGATTTGCCAGGCTCCTGACCCCAAGGCCCATCCCGGGCCCCCGCTCCCTAACCCAGGAAGGCCTGGCCCGGTGCTGCCTCTGCCCCTGGCCTTCCCCGACAGGATCTGGGTGCCGGGCTCCCCATGATCCCCTCCTCTCATCCACAGCTTTCCGGCCCTCCAGAATCCTCCTGGCTCCTGTGGGCACCCCCTCACAGGAAGCCAGTTCCACCTTTCCTGGGCCGAGGGCCCTTTCTAGCTTGTTCAAGGTCTCTCCACTTCCAAGGCCTGGTCCCTATCTTCCAAGCAGCCCTGTCTCTGAATCCTCAGCACCTCCCATCCCCACAGATGCCCCCGGACCCTTTCTGGTCTCTTCCTCTCCCAGAAAGCCTTGGCCTCCAACTTCCAGGCCCCCCCCCCCCCCCCCCGTCTCGGATTTCTAGGCCCTGAACCAGTCTGACTCCAGGCCTCTGCTCAGTCTCGGATTTCTAGGCCCTGAACCAGTCTGACTCCAGGCCTCATCCTTCCTGTATCAACTCCTCTGCTTCAGGCAAGCCCCCTCCTCAAGCCCCCAACCCTGTGACCCCCCTCCTCACAGGATACTACCTCACCCCTTAGGCTCCAGGCCCCCATCCCTTCCGCTGCCCCCAGGGCCTCCCTCTTCCTTGCCAGGGAGTCTGGCCTCCTAGGGAAGCCCCCTCCTCAGCGTCAGAGCCCTTCCTCAGCTCACAAGGCCTGGCCCCAGATCTTTCTTCCAGAAGACTCCTGGGCTTGAAGCTTCTGGTCTTGTCCTGCTCTAAGCCCTCTTCTCTTGGGGTCTGTCCTCTGGGAGCCTTCTCCCCAGGTTCCTAGGCCCCTGACCTCCCACCAGGCTCAGCCTTTGTTCCTTGGATCCACCGCTTGCCTGGGAAGCCCCTTCCCCAGAATTTCAGGCCCCTGGACCTTTCTCTGGTTCCAGGGACTGGTCCTAGAAACCCTCTTCTTTAACTTCTAGGAGTTTTCTCAAGACCCAGGCCCCTGGCTCAGGTATCCTTGGCTGCTGACTTCCACTGTCCCATGGCTTGGACCCTTCCCTCTATTCCCAGGTCCCCCTGCCCCTACACCACAGCCCAGAACAACCCCAGGGAGATTCCCCCCATTCCTCATTTCCCTGATTTCTGATTACTCTCAGCGCTTCTAAAGACTCTCCCACCAAACAATGCCAGACTTTTCCCCAGCTGGGTTCTTCATCACTTTCCCCCCAGGGCGTTCTGCCAGCTCCCTGCCAATCCCCAGCCACCCTCACCCTAGATGCCCACCAGAATGTTTTGTCTCTGTCCCTTCGCCTCGCAGGACCCTGCCTCAGAAAACTGTCGCTCATCACCATCACCACTGCCGCCACCGGCCATCATGCTCCGGGCCAGACTCTGATTTGGAGTCTCCAATGAGAACCACCGCTCCCCCAGTCACCCCAGGCTGTGAGAGGGAGCCCACAGGACTGGCTCTGCCAGCCGCTTTGCCCTGTGACCTCAGATAGCTGGTTCTTGCCTCCTGAGCCTGTTTCCTGCCCTGCAAAATGGGGGTGATCACTTGAATTCCTCAGAGGATTAGTCGAGATGATAGGGGCAAAGCCTGGCACACAGGACGCGCTCCACACGTGCTCGCAGCTATTGTGACTGTGGGTGCGAGTCAGATGGCGGTGGACCCTCAGTGCAGGCCTGTCATGGGTTGCTCTGCGGGCTTGCAGGCACATTCCCTGCTTGGAGCCTCAGTTTCCTCACCTCTAAATGGGATTGATGGTAGCACCTCCCTGTTAGGGATGTTGTAAAAAGAGCCAAAGAGATAATGTGAGTAAGATGCATAGGGCCAGGCCTGTTGTAGCTGCTATTATTGTTGTTGTTGTTATGACTTTGGTTATCCAGAGAAGCGTAAGTTCACATCTAGTTTCTGTCCCGCCCTAGCTGTGTGACCTGGGGCAAGTGACCTCACCTCTCTGAACCTCAATTTCCTCATCTGGCAAACAGGGCTCATACAGACACTTCCTCCTCTTGTTCAGATGTGTGGGGAAATTCGGGGATGGTTAATTCTCCCCTCTCCTCCCAACTCTAGTCTTGTAAGACCTGCTTGTCGGTCCTGGCAGAGGGTCACCTCTCTCCTGGAATCCGAGGTCATACCCCCCTCCTTTGCCACCTGGATGTGACGCCGCCTGCCATGACGACAGCCATGTGGGGTCATGCCCAAGTTCCGGGCCCCCTACCACCCAGCCTCTGGAGGTTCCCTAGCAACAGGCCCAGTGTTGGGGCGCCAGCCAGTCGGGAGGGAGCCAGGCCAGCTGCTGGTGCTGGCCAATTTTAGCTCCCGCCCCCAGCCCCTGGGGGCTTTATCACCCACTGCCCCAGCGGTCCTTTGCAGGGGTCCCTCAGCCACGCTGCCTTCAGTGGGATGCCAGCCCAGCCCCAGTTGGCTCCCCTGGTGCCACCTAATGGGGATTCTTCTCCAAGCCTTTATCTGGGTGAGAATCAGAGCCGTTATCTGCCAGGATCTCCAGCTCCCTTCCCACCTTCCCCTGGGAGGAGGCCCAGGGTTGTGAGCAGCCCAGCGGGGGATGTGGGAAAGAGCTGGGGGCTCAGGAGTCTGCAGAGCCAGGTTCAAATCCTAGGCACTCTGCTCCTTCTGCCCTGTGACCTTGGGGCAAGGTCCTGACCGTGCCTCAGCCCTGGGGTCCCCGTGTAGGGAGTGCGGATCATAACTGGGCCCCCCTCGGAGGCCAGGGTGGTGGCACGGTGGGCTGCAGGCGGGTGGCTAGGGCTCCAGCACTGCAGCTGTCTGTCTGCCCGTCACGGTGAACATTACCTCCCTGTTTCTTATGAATGAACCGTGTGACCTTGACAAGGCAGCATCTCACCGCAAGCCTCAGTTTCTCCTCTGGAATATGGGGGTGCTGGTGCCGCCCTCAGTGGGCTGCTGTGGGGGTTAAATGCAGATGAGGTGCATTAATGCCCAGGATTTGGCCCATAGTAAAGGCCACTTAATACAAATGATAGGAGCATGAGGCAGTGTGGTGTGGCCAAGGGGAAGACATCAACTCTGTGGTACACTGTCTGGGTTCAGGTCCCAGCTATGAACCTCAGTTGAAAGTGAAAGTGTTGGTCACTCAGTCATGCCCAACTCTTTGCGACCCCATGGACTATATGTAGCCCTCCAGGCTCCTCTGTCCCAGAAATCTCCAGATAAGAATACTGGAATGGGTAGCCATTCCCTTCTCCAAGGGAATCTTTCCAACCAAGGGATTGAACTCAGGTCTTCTGCATTGCAGGCAGATTCTTTACCATCTGAGCCACCCGCGCAGCCCTGAGCCTCAGTTTCCCTACCTGTAAAATGGGGATGATGATGCATTAATGACCAGTGCTCATTAGATGTTGGTCCCCATCACTGTTAAGTGGCCTGGCAGAGTCCTTGCAAGGAGCTGCCCTGGGCCCTCCTCTTTGTCGCATATCTAGCCTTCTCTCTTCCTCAGTGCCGCATCCTCCTGAGTCCCATCCCCCAGCCCTGGGAGGGGCTCAGGGACAGCACACGGTCTGAGCTGAGCTGTCTTGGCTGGGGCCTCTGTCTCCCGCACCCTGGGCCCCAGCTCTGAAAGGGAGTCACAGTCCCTGGGGCTCACAGTGAGGGCAGGGCAGCCAGGAGCAGGCAGGTGACCCGCGGGGGGAGAGGCCCAGGAGGGGCAGGACAGCAGGAACAGAACGTCAGGGACAGCTTGTGGCGTGGCGTGGGAGACCGCGGGTCGGGTTCTGATGGAGCTGTGTGTTTCACAGGGTGGTGGTGGGGGTGGGCGGCTGATCGAGGAGGCCACAAAGTTTCCTCCAGGAGGAAGGTTAACAGTGTGGCCTACAGTATCAGGGTGGAATGAAAGACGATTGGTTACAGTGTTTGGAGTAGAACTGGGGGCAGTAAGGATCAGAAAACATTAGGAGCAGAAAACTGGGAGTGAAATGTTGATAGGTGGGTTTGCCATGGAATTAAGAGGCTGGGTGGGGACAGATAGATAATATGGAAAGTTGGGAGCAGTGACGGTTGGGGTAGAGGGTTGAGTTCAGACATGGGGGTTGAGGGCTGCAGCATTAGAATAAAGTATCTTGGAGCTGATGGAGGTCCCAGTAATTAGGAAAGGAAGTTGAGGCAGGGGTAGCCTGATCACAGGGAGGGGTAAAGAAGAAGACAGCTGATGTCTGGAGTCCTGAGCGCCTAAGAGTTGGGGAGCCCCCAGCATCTTTGTTCTTGGAGACATCTTTTTGGAGAGAAGGATAGGGGAACCAAAGGCCTCTGTCTCGCATGGGTTTGCAAAGGGCCTCGAGGGGGGCAGTGGCCATGGCTGGAGTTAACCGCCCCAGCACACTGGCAGGTTGGACGGGCACTGCCTGCCACTCATCCTCCGTCTCCCCCACTCAGCATGGCACCCTGGGCAGCGGCCGCTCCTCGGACAAGGGCCCGTCCTGGTCCAGCCGCTCCTTGGGCGCCCGCTGCCGGAACTCCATCGCCTCCTGTCCCGAGGAGCAACCCCACGTGGGCAACTACCGCCTGCTGAGGACCATCGGGAAAGGCAACTTTGCCAAAGTCAAGCTGGCCCGCCACATCCTTACCGGTCGGGAGGTGAGTGAGGGGAGGGGTGGGGCTGGGGGCAGAATCCTGCAGCCCTGGTGCTTGGTGGGAGGAGGACAGGCTTGGACCTCACTTGGCTTTGTGACCGTAGGTAAATCTCTGACTCTCAGAACATCTCAGATTTTTGTTCCAGAACAACCTAAGTAGGAGAAGAGAACTAGTTTCAGGCATCCCTGGAATTGTGGGATCGTCTCAGTCAGATCACAGGCAAGCCACGTTCAGGGTCCCTTCGAAGTCACATGGCTTTTGTGCCTAAACCTAGGCCGTGCATGCATGCTAAGTCACTTCAGTCGTGTCCGCCTCTTTCCGACCCCATGGACTGTAACCCACCAGGCTCCTCTCTCCATGGGATTCTGCAGGCAAGAATATTGGAGTGGGTTGCCATGTCCTCCTCCAGGGAATCTTCCCCACCCAGGGATCAAACCCATGTCTCTTATATCTCCCGCATTGGCAGGCGGGTTCTCTGCCCCTACTGTCATCTGGGAAGCCCCTACACCTAGGCCACCTCCCTGTTTTAATGGTGGACTTTGGTTCAGTGGAACCTCCTAGTGATCTTGATTGAGAATGCAAGAAGTTTGTTCATGTTTACTCACCCTCCCCACCCGGCCTTCCAAGGTGGGCATGTGTGTGTGTGTATATATACACACACTGGGTGTGGTAGCAGTGTTGCAGAAATGGAGAGGAGTCTCTAACTCACCCTTAATGGGGGAGAGAAAGAGATCGTGGGTGTGTTTATGACCCCTGTACACCTCTTTCAGTTATAGAGAAGGCGACAGGAAGCAGTTTCTCCTGCACTCACGCTATCTATGCCACACTCACAAAAGATACCAGGCCCCAGTGGTTTTATGGGCAGATTGTACCGAACGTTCTAGTTTTGTGCCAGTTACTTCCAGAGACTAGAGAGTTTCTGCTGCCGAGTTTACGTGCTTGTCCAACAGTGACAGTGAAACCAGGCGAGACGTAAAACTGTAGGCCAGTCTTACGTGTGAATATAGATGCAGAAATCTTCAACAAAATATTAGCAAATAGACTCTTTGACGTATCAATTAAAGAAAGCTGTGTGGTGACAAAGCTGGGTTTATTTGAGGAATGCACAGTTCTTTTCAAATTGACAATTTATTCATGTACTTTGCCACATTCACAGATTTAAGGACAGAAACCATATGATCATCTCAATACTGGCATAAAAAGTGCCTGTTGAGATTAAAAACCCATTTGTGAAAATATAAAGGAAGCTTAGGAAGACCCTCTTCCCCCACAAAAAGTGCATTATTCCCCTCACGTGAGTTTTGAACATGACTCCAGGGATTTCTTAAGGAACAGAACCTCCCAGGGGAAGAGTTCTGTAATCCAGTGGATCTGAGGTGACTGAGGGTAACCCCAAAACTCTTTGAGAAAACTGAAGACCTAAGGTGGATTAAGACTTTTGAAGTGCTGTACCCTAACGTGTAATTCAGAATAAAAATTAGCTAAACTGCAGGATAAGTATAAAGAGGCTTCAATAACATTTTGATTTTTCCCCAGTGATGACTATCCCAAAACTTTTTCAAAACTAGCTATAGATTTTAAGTGTGTAAAAGGTTGACTCTGTCAAGTTGCACAAGTTCAAACCCCAGCCCACAAACTTCCCAGCCATGTAACCTTGGCCATGTTGTGGAACAGCTCTGTGCCTCAGTTTCCCCATTTGTGAAAATGAGGATAACCTCACAGGGTTGTTGGGAGGATTCAGAGAGTTCTCACTTAGGGGCTTTCCTGGTGGTCCAGTGGTTGACTCTGCTTCCAGTGCAAAGGGTGCAGGTTGACTCCCTGGTTGGGGGACTAAGATCCCACACGCCAGGTGGCCAAAAAAAAGAATTGTCATTTGTAAAGCACATAGCCCAGGGCCTGGCTCTTGTGACTACGTGGTACATGTGAGCTCTGGTTATTATTTCTTGCTCCACCATGTGAATGGTCTGAGATGCCCTCCCAAAGGGCCCCCCTCAGGGTCTCAGTCACCCTCACTCTGGACAGGCCCCTGGAGCAGCCCCAACCAGACCCCATGATGGAATAGGGGATATTTCCCTGGACATGGTGAGAACAGCGTGTGCAAAGGCATTGAGGTTCCAATCCCCATCCACTGAGAATGGCCCGGGTTGAAGGCTGTTTCTGAAAGGGGACAAAGGAACGACACGCTAGGGTGACTGGATGAGAGAACCTTTCCCAGCTTGAGGGCCTGTGATACCTTGACCTTTCCCCCTTTCTTCCATCTCCAGGTCGCCATCAAGATCATCGACAAAACCCAGCTGAACCCCAGCAGCCTGCAAAAGGTGAGACCCAGGGAGTGGGAGCAAGGCGGGGGAAAGGTTGGGGAGAGGGTCCTTGAAACACCCCATCCTCATCTTTCTCTTTTTCCTTTCTTCCAGCTGTTCCGAGAAGTCCGTATCATGAAGGGCCTAAACCACCCCAACATCGGTGAGGAGAAGGGGGTGGGTTCAGTGGATACCAACCAGGGCACTTGGGAAAAGAGAATCAGAGGGAAGAGAGAACTGGCTGTTAGAGTAGTTAGAAAGACCTGTTTTCTCATAGCAATATCCCTGCTTACTGGCTGTGTGACCTTGGGTGAGTCACTCAACCTCTCTGAGCCTCAGTGTCCTCCTCTGGAGTGGGGGGTGATAAGTGGGCTTATTACTTCAAGGTCATTGTGAGGACTGGATAAGATCGTGCATGCAGAACACTTAGTTCGGAGCTAAGCTGTGGGAGCCGCTCTGATTATTGTCATCAGCAACATCCATTGTCATTGTCATCATTAGTCAGAGCTGAGAGAGTGAGGTCTTTACCAGTGAAGCCGGATATGGCCTGGCCTGAATGTGGCCGCAGCATGCATTTATCCATTTGTTCATGTACTCAGTGAATATCCCTTGAGTGGCTGCTCATGTGCCAGACTCTGGGGCCCAGCAGTGAAGACAACAAGCACATGTCCCCAGCCTCACAGAGCTGACATTCTTGTGAGGAAGTGGAGACGGTGGTCAAGTGGGGTCAGGGAGTTTGGAAAAATCTTGCCATCAGTAGGGAGCCATTGACTATTCTTGAGTAAGGGGTATCATGGTCAGCACATGCTCAGTTACCAAGTGCAGGTGGAAGGTGAGGGGTCTCTTCTCGCCTAACCCCTCTACCACCACCCCCTGGCCATTGCAGTGAAGCTCTTCGAGGTGATTGAGACGGAGAAGACACTGTACCTGGTGATGGAATATGCAAGTGCTGGTGAGGCCTCTCCCCTCCCTGCCCTGCTCTCTGCGCCACCCCCCCATCCCCCGCCTGACCCATTCGGCCTCTGCCCTGCAGGAGAAGTGTTTGACTACCTCGTGTCCCATGGCCGCATGAAGGAGAAGGAGGCTCGAGCCAAGTTCCGACAGGTCAGGGTCATGGCTGCGGGCGGGGCTGGGAGGGGCGCCCAGTCCCCAGGGATGAGGGTCTGATTGTGAGTCTGGGCTGTTGAAGGGCCTGGGGGCGTGGCTTAAGTCCTGTTAAGGGCCTGGGGGTGGGGGTGAAGGTGGACAGTTAGGTGGCCATGGGCATGCAGAGACCAGATATGAGGATATTCAGATGGAGGGGTGCAGCTGCCTAGCTGGGTGGGTGAGAGGACCAAGCATGAAGGTGCCCAGGTAGGCAAATGTCCAGTGTGTGAGTGTGAAGGTGTGCCCAGTATATAGGAGTGCGCCTAAGAGGGCACGCAGGTACCAGGGTGCTGAGGTGTGTAAGTAAAAGAGTGTGAGTGTCCAGGTATATAGGTGTGTAGCTCTTTGGGTGAAAGTGCATATGGTAGCTGGGGTGTATGGGTGAGGGGACCCCAAGTGGGGTATCTTAAGTTCGTGGTAAGAGGGCACAATATATATGAGTGCCCAGCTGTGTGGTTTCAGCTGTGTGGCAGTGAGGATGCTCGGGTGTATAAGGAGGTGCACAGGAGCCCAAGGGTGGGCATGTAGGTTGATGGGCCAGAGAGTATATGGCATGAGGATGTCCAGGTGGATAAGGAGGAGTGTGGACGTCCAGGTGCGTGGCAGTGAGGATGCTCGAGTATGTAGGAGGGTTTGGCGGGTGAAGAGAGCGAGCATGTTGATCCGGGACTGTCCAGCTGTTGGATGCAGCTATGCTGGGTGCGCAGGGCTCAAGCCCTGGTATGTTGGGGCTGCCTGTCTGTGTTTGGGTGTATGATGTTCTTATGTGTGTTTCTCGACATGAAAGTGAGGAGGGGCCAGTCCTGTTGCCTTGGTGCTGATGTCCCTGCCAGGAGGGTGTCCCGGTGTCTAGTACGGGACGTGCAGGTGTCTGGGTGGAGGCGGTGTGGGTGCAGCTCCCTCTTCATTTCCTGCCGTGACTGAGTGGGGAGTGGTCAGAGTTAGGGCTCGGTGGGGACCCAGCATCACGGCCTGTGCTTGGGGAGGCCTGGAGTCCAGAGCTCGGTCGCAGGTGGGTTCATGGGGTCTCTGAGGGAGGCTGAGAGCTTTGGGGGCCACCAGTAACCAACCTGCCCTCTTCTCCCCTCCCCCGCAGATCGTATCGGCTGTGCACTACTGTCACCAGAAAAACATTGTGCACCGGGACCTGAAGGTGAGCCCCCAGCTCAGCCCACAGACGCCTGCTTGTCCCCAGGCCCGCCGCAGTCCCCCGGGGCACCCCGTGCCCTCCACGTCTCCCTTCCTTCCCTTCTCGTGCTCCTCCCTCAGCATCCAGAACCCCTTGACTTTTTCCCAGGCTTCTGTGGCAAAAAACAAGGCCAGCCAAAGCGGGGAGCAGGTTGGGGCGGGGACAGGAGGAGTGAACAAAGGGGGAAGAAACAAAGTGTCCCCGAGCGGCCTTGGACAGTGACATGTGTCCCGGCAAGGTCACTGGAGTGCACCCAGTAAGGAACGTCACTCTCAGAGTCTCCGGAGACTTTAGAACATTCAGGAAGCCTCGAGAATTGAGCTCTTAGAGCCCCAGAGTCCCACGGCCTCCAGGGTATCGGAGTCACAGGTATCTTTGAACTTGAGAGGGAGGGCGAGTGCCTGGTGGGGACGGGAGACTCAGTGGGGCCTCCGCTGCTCCACCCCACCTCCGGGCTGAGCTGTGTCCCAGGGCCCCCGCTCCACACCTCCCCGCCGAGAGAACCTCCTTTCTGAGCAATGCTCCTCCCAGACCAGAGAAAGAAACGTGTGTCTGGTCCGAATCAGGTTGCCTGTTGTCATGATGGTGATTTCTTGAGCGCCCACTGTGTCCCAGGCCCTGGGCTGAGTACTTAAGGAACTGCTTCTCATGGTTTCCACCGCAGAATCCTTGGTTTGTTTGAGTGGCTTCAGTTCCCAAGCCGTTGTGGACAGGGACTTGGGTAAAGTGTAATAAAAATTAAAGGAAAAAGAGATGTATAAAGCACAAGCCCAAGGAACTTCCCTGGTGATCCAGTGGTTAGAACTCCATGCTTCCACCGCAGGGGGCAGAGGTTCGATCCTTGGTCAGGGAACTAAGATCTCTGCATGCAACCCAGTGAGACAAAAAAAATAGAAGAAAAAATACAAGCCTGATTTTTAAGATGATTATTATTAGAGTAAAAAAAAAAAAAACAGAAAATTCTGTCAAACTGCTGTAGAAGTTTCGAAACACTGCCTCTGTGCTGCTGAAATCCCCACACAGCCCCCTGAAGCAGCTCCTCAGGCGGGAGTTTGCCCTGCAGGGGTGTGAGTGAGCCATTGCGAACAGCCTGAAGGACGCACGCCCCCTGGTGGAGGGTCCTAGAAGTGGCTAAAAGGGGACTCGGGGATCCGGTTAGTGCACCCGGGGGACCCACCAGGAGGAGCAACCCAGAAGTGAGGGTGGGGCTGAACTCTGGAGCCTCAGATGCCATGACGGGGAGTGTCACCCCTGAGCAAGATGGAGGTGCCCCTGGATTGAGGTTCGCTGTGTGTCTGTGTGGGTTCTATCCCTTTGTTGGGTCAGAGGTGCTGAAGGGTGGTACCGAAATGTATCACCAGGAGGGAGGGAAACCAGGAGGAAGCTCCACACGCTGGGTTGTGGAAGGGCGGAGGTTGGCAGGGGTCAGGCACTGGCAGCGTTCTGAAGGGTAGGTTTTTTGTGCATCGTTGTGTAGTCAGCACACCAGAAGAAGAGGGATGCTGGAGGCTCCTTCCACACTCGGGCTATGGAAATGGCAGGCCTCTTCTGGGTTCTAGTTCTGCTACTTTCATGCTCTCAGGGAGGCATGAGGTAGCCCCCCTGAGCCTCGGTTTCCTCGCCTGTGAAATGGCAAATACACACCTGCCACCAAAAATAGACAAAAACCTACACATATCATATAAAGTATTTATTGAGTGCTGACTCTGTCCCATGTGCTGTGATGAGCACTTTTCAGTGAACCCCAAGACCACCTGTGAGGCTGGTGCTATAATGACCTTCAGTTTGCACATCAGAAACCGAGGCACAAATAGGGCTGGTAGTCCACCCAAAGTCACACAACCAGTGAGTGGTAGAGCTGGGATTCAAAGCTAGGGTTCTTCCAGAATCTGTACTTTAGCCCCGCATTATGTAGCTACTTTTATAAAGGATAGTCTAAAAGCCCAGTGCATAGTAGGTGCATAATAAGTTTTGTATACAATGATTTTCATTTTTATAAGTATTGAGCAGTCCATCCTCATTTTTTTCTGCTGGATGAACTGAGACTCAGAGACAGGCAGGGGATTGCTTGAGGACCTTCAGCCCTGCAGGCCACATGGGAGATTAAGAGCTAACATTATGTAGCACTTGTTGTTATTTAGTCGCTCAGTCCTGTCTGACTCTTTGCGACCCCATGGACTGTGGCCCACCAGGCTCCTCTGTTCAGGGGATTTCCCAGCCGGGAATGCTGTAGCGGGGTGCCATTTCCTTCTCCAGGGGATTTTCCCGGACCAGGAATGGAACCCATGTCTCCTGCATTGGCAGGTGGATTCTTTACTGCTGAGCACCAGGGAAGCCCATTACATAGCGCTTACTGGGCATGAACTATTGTCTGAGGCCTTTTGCACGGATGAAGTCACTTAATTCTCACACATCCCTGTGAGGTCCTGATTATCCCTATCATATGGATGAGGAAACCAGGTCCAGAGAAGTAAAGTCACTGCCTGAGGTCACACAGGAAGAAGGGACGAGGCCGCGGCCGCTGCAGGCTGGCCGGCTCTGGTGCCGCGCACATCCGCCCTCTGCCCTCCTTGCTTGGCAGGCCGAGAACCTCCTGCTGGACGCCGAGGCCAACATCAAGATTGCCGACTTTGGCTTCAGCAACGAGTTCACGCTGGGCTCGAAGCTGGACACGTTCTGTGGGAGCCCCCCATACGCCGCCCCGGAGCTGTTCCAGGGCAAGAAGTACGACGGGCCGGAGGTGGACATCTGGAGCCTCGGCGTCATCCTGTACACACTCGTCAGCGGCTCCCTGCCCTTCGATGGGCACAACCTCAAGGTGCTGGGCGGGGCTGGCCCAGGGGCTCTGACTCCCCTGGGGAGGGGGTCTCCGGCCTTCACAGCCCCCATCCCCCAGATCCCTCCCCTGCAGAGGCCTGGAGGGGCGGGGCCGAGTTCTCAAGGCAAGACGGGGGTCAGGCAGGACCGCGTCAGGGTTCAGGAGTGAACTTGGCAGCTGGCAAGTTTGGATTCAAATCCTGTTCACTCACCCATCCACTTAGTATATAGTTATTGTTTACCATCCCTGAGTCGGGCTCTATTTTAAGTTTTGCAGACACGGGGTGAACAAAGGAGACATGCTGCTCCCTGGGTGATCCCTGAAAACAGGCTGAGTGGGAGAAGCCAGTCACAAAAGGCCCCCCGTGGTAGATTCCATGCCTGTGAAGTGTCCAGAACAGGCAAATCACAGAGACTGAGAGCAGATCAGTGGTTGCCTAAGACGAGGGAGGCGGGGGGAGTTGGATGACAGGGTTTCTCCTGGGGGTAATGAAAATGTTCTAAAACGGATTTGAGTGATGACTGCAACAGCTCAGTGAATGTACTGAAAAACCATTGAATGGTGCACTTAAAAAAAAAAATCCTTCTCATGCTGACATTCTTGCAACAGAGCCAGGCAGAAAATAAAATAATAAGCAAAATATATAGCACATTAGATGCTGGCCAGTTCTATGGAAGGGGGTGGGAAGTGTGGGGTGAGTTGTAGTGTTGGGTTGTTTCTTTTTTTTTTCCTCCCTTTGAATTTTTTATTCTGAAACATGCTGATCAACAGAGAAGTTGTCAGACTGGAACAGAGGACAGTGGTCCTTTTCGGGAGATGCTCTGATTGCCAGCCCGCGGCCACGTGTGCTGCATGTATGTGTCTGCATACGCTCGTGCTGTCCCTGCCTTTGCAGTTCCTGATGGAACACATGGGAGTCCGTTGTAGACACCACATCCCTTCCCCCTCTGAAGGTTGCGTACAGCCGGGATCTCCTAAGATGGGGCATTTTCCGTCCATGATCACGCTCAGGAAATCCAGCGCTGATCAGTCCCTAGCTCTAACCCACAGCCTGTGCTCAGGTTTCATCAGTCATCCCGAGAATATCCTTGGCAGCTACTTTTTTCTCCTGCCCCAGTGTCCCCTCGGGTGCCCTCATTGCGTTCGGTCCCGTCTCTTTAGTCTCCTTTCATCTGGAACAGCTCCTCGGCGGTTCTTTGTCTTCCGCGGCCGGCAGTGATGAGTTCAGGCCAGTCATCTTGCAGAAACAGCCTCCCTCAGTCTGGATTGCCCTGTTTCCTCCTGATTGGATCCAGGTGGTGCATTTCGGGTGGGAATTCCAAAACTCGGGCAGGAATGCTCAGGCCTGCTCAAAGTAGCCGTGAGGAGCAGTCAGGGGATTGGGGAAGTCATTGCCTAGAACAGGTCAGCAGAGCCCTGAGTGACGAGTTGGAGGGGCGGGCCCCTTGTCGCCGTGGCGTCAGCCAATCAGCCAACCCCTTCGAGCCTCAGTCTCCCCCTCTGTCAGTGAGGACCTTAAAGTACCGCCTCATAGCAGTGGAGTGAGGACTTGATGAGATCAGATAACAATCTTTCTGAGCCCCAAGCGTGAAATCAGGAGATCTTCCCAAAGGGCCAGGCCAGCATCTCACCTGCCCCAGGCTCTTGTCATTTCCTGCTGTCCTGGTTTCCCCACCAGGCTCCCCAGGCCTTGCTGGATGAAGGAAACATGTGGCTGGGAGCCATGTCTGCTCTGTCATTTCCTTGCTAAGTGACCTTGTACAAATCTCTTTCTGAACCTCTCCTTGTGGGGACACTTACAGCCAGACTGGGTGTGTGAGGCCCTTCACCAGGACTTGGCATCAGGCCGGAGTGTCACCCCTGGGAGCTGCCCTGGTGGGGGGGTCAGTGCCCCTTTGATTGCTTCGCAGCATCACACGACAGAGGCAGTGTGGAGCGGTGGTTACACAGCACAGGCTCCAGGGCCTGACTGCCTGGCTTTGAACCCTGGCCCTGCCACTTTATGGCTGCACAAACCCAGAGCAAGTGATTTAACCTCTCTGGGCCTCAGTCTCCTCTTCTGGAAAATGGGCGTCATGACCCTGTTCCACAGCATCCTTGTGAGCATAGATGTCATATGTGTGAAGCGCTTAGAACGCAGCTGGCTCACGATGAGGGCTCTGAAAGTGATACTTATCACTATGAAATATTCACGACCTTCCGGGCTGTGATAATGTGCAGTGTAGGAGGCTCCCCAGGCCCAGGCCTCATCCCGCCCTGTTAGGAGAAGGCACCCCGAGGGAACTCCCAGCCCAGGCCCTGGCACAGAGCTCCACCCAGAGACACCCCTTCCTCCCTTCACCTCCCACTCCATTTTCTCTCTCTCCCAGTTCTTTGTTCAGGATGGTAGGTGCTTCCCCTGGTCTGCCATGCCATGGAGCATGGAATTTGTTTTTTTTCTTTTGTAGCCTTGGCAGGGCCCTCCTAAAAAGCCCTAAAAAAAAAAGTCAGCATGTAAATCAGTGTTCCTTCTTGGAGACTGCCAGGGCCTCATAGCTTTTTGGAAAGACAGGTGCGGGGGGCGGGCAGGATGCCCCTCTCTCGTCCCCTTTTGTAGACCCAGTCTTTCCTTTTGTTTTTATTTCTGACTGTGCCAGGTCTTCGTTGTGGCACACGGGCTCCTCTTACTGCAGAGCAGACCCTACACAGCGCGGGCTCAGCTGTTGCAGCACACAGGCTTTCTAGTTGCGACAAGTGGGCTTAGTTGCCCCGTGGCATGTGGGATCTTAGTTTCCCAGACCAGGGATTAAACCTGCATCTCCTGCATTGGAAAGCAGCCTGGAGAAGTTCCCTAAACCTAGTATTTAAAAAGCACTTGCTCTGGGCCTGACTCGTGCTAGGCATTCACTTCTCTAAACTCACTCCTACCCTGGCCTGGAAAGTGAGCGCTGTGGTCCCTGTTTACAGATATGAAAACTAAGGCCCCAGAGGCCAACTACTGGCCCACCTCCCCTCTTATCTGGCTCATAGAACTCACCCACTCTGTAAGATTTCCTCAGAGTGAAAAGTTATATTGCTTTTTTTAAAAAAAAAAAAACCTATTTGAAAACTGCTGCATCTGTAACAGTGTTCCCATTTTACAGATGGGAACCGAGATCGAGAGAAAGTGGTGGGGTTTTTCCCACCACCTCAGGGCTAGGACTTAGAGGCCCTGTCACTTCTGTCAGGCGACTGAGAAAGAGGAAGAGAAAGAGTGTGTGTGTGTGTGTGTGTGTGTGTGTGATGGTTGGGGAGGTGGGGTGGACCCCTCCCCCAATAACCCCATCCCCCCAGGAGCTGCGGGAGCGAGTCCTCAGAGGGAAGTACCGGGTCCCTTTCTACATGTCAACAGACTGTGAGAGCATCCTGCGGAGATTTTTGGTGCTGAACCCAGCTAAACGCTGTACTCTCGAGGTGAGCTCAGCCCCCAGCCCCACACCCATCCCACTGAAGCCCTGTTGCCTGACGCGGTTCCTCTCCCCTGTCCAATACGCCACTGGTAGGTGATGGGAGACGGGCAGCCCAGGAAAAGGCTCCTAGACTCATCCTGATGCCACCGCCCCCCCCAACAGCCTCGCCCACTCCCCGACATGCCAGTAATTAGCTAATGAGCTCCTAGGATGATTACAGGGTGCTGGGGGCCCAGATGATGCGGAGGAGGAAGGGTGGCTTCGGCAGGCTCCAGATGGGGGCTGGGGGTTGGGAGAGGAGGTGCTAGCTCTCAGGATGGCCTCGATTCTGGAGTGTTGGGCCTTGAAGGTGGGGGGCAAGGCAGGGCAGGAGCCCCATTTGAGAGCTGTGTTTACATCCCTGTGTCTTCTGACATCTCTCTCTTTCCCCTTCCGTGTCCTGCTCCCGAATCCTGCAGCAAATCATGAAAGACAAATGGATCAACATCGGCTATGAGGGTGAGGAGTTGAAGCCATACACAGAGCCTGAGGAGGACTTCGGGGACACCAAGCGAATTGGTGAGGGTCAGGGGAAGCAGGGCCGTGGGCTGCGGAGCCCGGAGCGGGAGCTTCCCAGCACCTACCCCTTTGGTTAGTCTGTCAGAGAACTTTGCAAGGTGCCTGGGGAGAGCAGAGAAGCCTGGGCTCTGGTCCCTGCCCTGCTACTTTCTAGCTGTGTGACCCTGGGCCAGTGGCTTCCCTTCTCTGTGCTTCTGTTTCCTTGTCTATAAAGTGAGATCATCATAGAACCTGTCCTATAAGTTTGTTATGAATATTAAATGAATGAATTTATATAAAGCACTTATATTAGGCATGTAACAAGTGCTTTGTGTCATAGTAGGCATGTAATAAGTGCTGTTGTGTTAGCTTTGACTGTTAACACACAAGAACTCACGGGTGACTTCCAGGAGAGTTTGGACAAAGCCATCAGTAATCTGCATGCTTGAGAAAAACTCCCACCTTGGCACTTGCCTCACTCACCACCCCTTCAGTCCCAATCCCTTCAGCCCAGAGCCCTCGAACACTTGGCCCTAAAGCATTAGCCCTGGAAGAGCCCCTTAGGAACCATCTAGTAAACCCTCACTCTGCAGCTGATGAAATTGAAGCCACCATCAGATCTGGCTGTGTTAATCAGGACTTCACAGTTGCAAGTAACAGAAAACCCAAGCCATTCTGGCTTCAACCAGAAAATAATAATTGGTTGATCCATATGAAATCACCATTTTCATAGCTCAGAATATATCAGTATGAGCAGTTTCATGTGGTTTAACCTAATAGTGATGTTATTTCATTCACATAACTGAAAAGGCCATGATATGTCCGCCTTCAGGCACAGCTGGATCCAGGTGCTCAAAGACAGTTGTTAGGAATCTTCTCAGTGGTGACTTTTTTCCCAGGCAGCTCTCCCTGCAGGAGCAAACTGACAACAGCATATCCCAGTGGGCCGGACACCTCAGCAGGAGGAGAAGCCACGTTCCTAATGTTTCAATGGAAGCTGTAGGGTCGGACCCATTGGCTACCCCTGAAGCAGTCAGTTTGACCTTGGGGATGGACCACTCTTTTATTGGCCAGAAGTGGGTTATATGCCCACCCTGAGCCAATCAGTGTGGCCTTGGGGATAGAACACTCTGATTGGCCAGACCTGAGTAATATGCCTGCCCCTGGGGTTTGGAGCAGGCAGGAGACAGCTGGGGGATCTGAGCAGGGAAGAAATATTCTTCCAAGGAAAACCAGGGTGCTGCTGGCAGAGGGGAAATGATTACTGGACAGGCCAAAGTGCAGGCATTACTGTGTGATGCAGAAAAGAGGGGAAGGGAAGGGTCTGGGGAGACTGAACCTCCTCTCCATCCCCCTCTCCCAGAGGTGATGGTGGGTATGGGCTACACGCGGGAAGAAATCAAAGAGGCCTTGACCAGCCAGAAGTACAACGAAGTGACCGCCACCTACCTCCTGCTGGGCAGGAAGACTGAGGTCAGAAGGCGTCAGGGACATTCGGGATACGTGATACCCGGGGTGGAGGGAGACCTCTGGGACAGAGGGGACGGGGCTGAGGTTCCTCGTCTGTCGTCTTCCTGCAGGAGGGTGGGGACCGGGGTGCCCCAGGGCTGGCCCTGGCACGGGTGCGGGCGCCCAGCGACACCACCAATGGAACAAGCTCCAGCAAAGGCACGAGCCACAGCAAAGGGCAGCGGGGCTCCTCCTCCACCTACCACCGCCAGCGCAGGCACAGCGACTTCTGTGAGTGTTGCCCCAGCGCGTGCATATCCCTGGCCCCCAGGCCCCGATCTGCATGATGTCAGGGTTCTCTGGCTGGCAAGCAGCAGAAACCAGCTCGAGCCAACTGCAACCAAGGGCGAAATGTCTTATAAAGGTGCAGGGACATTGCATGGAATGTGGAGGCAGCCAGGCTTAGGAAGGGATTAGAAACTGGAAAAGCAGCCAACCCTAGAACAGACACTCTGTGTCTTGCTTCTTCTTTGTTCATCTGATTCTTCCTTTCTTTTCTTCATATCCTGCCTTACCTTTTCCCCAGTCTCTTAACTTCTTACAACTCAGTTTTAGAGACCAGCTCAATAGTAGCTGAAATCTCTTTGATCCACTTGATATCAGGGTCCAGTCGGGATTAATCCACTTGACTGGGACACAGGAGGACACATTGTACAAAAAGGCTGCTGAAAGCCTGCCCTCTTGCCTCTCTTCCACACTTACTAGTGGGAAGGGGCTGGGGAGACACCTGCTTGCATCCTACATTCTTCAACTAACAGATATCTCATCTCCTGCAGAAAATAGACCCACGACTACTGCCACCATAAATGAGACATGGGAACTTGCAAGAGGTCTCTACCTACACTCTCATCTTAATCATCTTCACTATATTTTTTAACAGCTTTATTGAGAAATAATTAACATACTGTGCAGTTCACCCATTTAAAATATACAATTAAGTGGCATTAGTGTGTTCACAGATTTGTGCATCCTTCGCCACAGCCAACTTGAGAACATGGTCAGTACCCTGGAAGGAGACTCTCCTCTGTCCTTAGCCATCGAATTCAAATCTCCGATCCACCCCAGCCCCCCACCCCTGACAACTACTTATCTGCTGTTTCTATAGATTTCCCTATTCTGGACCTTTCTTATAATTAGAATCATACAATCTGTGGCCTTTTGTGGCTGCCTTCTTTCACTTAGCATGTTTTCAAGATTCATCCATATCATAGCATGTATTAGTACTCCACTTTTTTATTGCTAAATAATATTCCATCACATGGATATATGATATTTTGTTTATGCATCATCAGTGGAGGGTCATTTGGGTTTTCACCTTTGGCTGTTGTAATTTTCTGTGTGGGTCTTTGTTTTCATTTCTTTTGGGTGTGTACCTAAGGGGGAATCGCTGGGTCATATGGTAACTCTGTGTTTAATAGTTAAATAATGGCCAAGGCGATTTCCAACTTTCCATTATTTTTGCATCCCTACTTCTCTTACTCTGTTCCTTACTTCTCATCGCTGTTCCTTACTCTGGGACAGGCACTAGTACAGGAAGAGGGAAGTCAGGGAAGCTTAGTTTTGAGCAGGAAGTATCCTGGATGGTCAAGCCATTCCTCTTCGCTGGGTCTCCTTTTCCCCACCTATACAATAGCGAGATTGGCCCAGAAAGACCCTGAGAAGCCTGTGATTCCAACAACCTGTGATTAGAACATGATAACCTTTAAAAATAATCCACATGGAGGCCTTCTGGGTTCCAGGGTTTGTGGGATGAAAGATGGTTGATGGGTGGCCTGTGTCTTGTTATGGTTCTGGGGCTTTTGAGCATTAAGTTTTCTGAATTTTAACACACAGAAGTTCTGACTCTCTGAAGTTCTAGAACACCCTTAACCCCTGGGTTCTAAAACCATAAATTTCCAAGATGTTTAAAGGGACTAAATTTGTTTTGTTTTTGAAATTAATAGTCACATCCTTCAAAACTCGATAGTGCAGAGAGCACAGACAGTAAAAACATCTTTGTCCTACACGCTTCTCCCAGCCCCTTAGTCCCATTTGGAAACAGCCATTGTTACCAGTTTTATATGAACTCTTAGAGAAGTTTTATTCATATATAAATATATAAAGAGACAGATGTGAAAAGGAGAAAGATATGAAAATGGATAAAGATGTAGAAATACAATGTTAATATATTAATATACCATAAAGATATTCTCCTCTTTTAATAGAAGTGATAGTCTTTGGGCAACATTCATTATAAACAAGTACAGATAAATAGATATAGATAGGTATATACTTTCTCCTCTTTTTAACACATGGTAGCCCACTGTAGACCTCATACCTGACCTTGCCCTTTCTACCTCACAGTCTATCTTGAAGATCTTTCTGTATGTGAACATTTTTTATAGTTGCATGGTATTCCATTGGGTGGCAATATCTTGACTTAGATAATTATTCCCATATTAAGGGGTGTTCAGGCTGTTGCCAATCTTTTGGCCTGAAAAAAAGAAAAAAGAAGTAGGATTTAGTGAATAACCTGCACATGTGTTGTGTCATTTATGTGGCGCCTCTGAGTCCGTGACTACATGTCACTTAGACATTGTCAGAACGGCCTGTGCAAGGAATTCTGAGGTTCTAAGGATCACCCAGAGTAGATTTTTGCTTTTTCTGCTGATGCCAGCACAAAACTGTCCCCTCCCTCTACCAGGTGGCCCATCCCCTGCACCCCTGCACCCCAAGCGCAGCCCAACCAGCACGGGGGAGGCGGAGCTGAAGGAGGAGCGCCTGCCAGGCCGGAAGGCGAGCTGCAGTGCTGCGGGGAGTGGGAGCCGCGGGCTGCCCCCCTCCAGCCCCATGGTCAGCAGCGCCCACAACCCCAACAAGGCAGAGATCCCAGAGCGGCGGAAGGACAGCACGAGCACCCCTGTGAGTTGGGGGGTGCTGGGGGGATGGCAGCCGGGCCGCCCCCCTGCCTGTGGCCCAGCCTGTCAGTGTCAGCTGGGTCGCATTTCTCGCACTCCGTCATCTCCCGCCCCTCCTGGTCCCCAGACACCGCACTGGGTCCTATTACATCCTTTCGGTCATTCACTCGACACACGTGTATTGAATGTGCTCTCTGCCTGAGTTTGTACTCGATTCTGGTGTATAAGTTAGGATTCAGTGTCCAAAAGAACTTCTCTGTGCTTTCAACTTGAAGGATTTAATATGGAGAATTAGCTGTGGTGCTTACACCGTCGTAGGAAGGGCTGGAGAAGCAGGCCCAGGACAGGACCTACAGGAGACACTTTGCCACGGCAGAGCTGACCCACCAAGGGAGCGCATGCCTTTGAGGCCCCCTGGAGCTCTGCTGAGCTCAAGAACATACAGCCAGGGCTATGATGCAAGACTCAGAAACGTCTCCTCCACCAGAAGAGCCTCTTGCTGCCCAGAGGTCTGGAGAACCAGTACTGGTGCCCTGCTGAAGCAGAGACCCTTATCCCATTGTCTTGCCTGTGTGAGCAGAAGTCAGAGGGGTAGGAAGGTGGCTGCCACCCCATTTCCATCTCCCAGATCTCCACAAGAGCAGAGGTTGCCAGATCCCATTCATACCCAGAACCTGGGCTGCCGAAGAGTTTCTGGGGAATGTAGCATTTGGCTTTCTTGCTTCTGCAGCTCCCTAGAATGCTGTAATACAAGCTGAGAGAACCAAAATATCCTCAACGTCAGGAGACAGAGGTGGAGGCTAGTTACAGGAAGGTGGTCAGGATGCGGAAGCCGCATAGACCAGCGTGTGCATTACATTGATGAGCTGTGTCACCTCGAGCAAGTGACTTCCCCTCTCTGAGCTTCTCTGTGCCACCCTGAGAAATGAGCTCATCAAAGAGCTTGGGTTGTCGGGAGGATCTTGTGCCATCTTCACACAGTGCCTGGCTCAGTAAGCACTCAGTGAATGAAAGCTGTTGTTATTGTTGAAATACATCCACACTTTCAAGACACTAAAAAAAGACAGCAAATTACCCCCTCCCCCCAAAAATGGAAGGAAGGAAATAATAAAGAGAATTAATCAATACAGGAGAAAACAGATGCACACTAGAGAAAATCAACAAGCCAAAACCTGATTCTTTGAAAAGATTAATAAAGTCAGTGGACCCCTAGCAAGACTAATTAAGAAAAAAAACACACAACATTGTAAATCAACTATACTTCAGTTTTTTAAAAAAAAAGAAGATAGCAAGCACAGAGTGAAAAGGAGAGCGTCATTGTGACATAAAAAGAAAGATGGTACTAGGAACTACTTTATGCCAATAAATTTGACAATTTAGACAAAATGGATAAATGTCTTTTAGAAACACACCAAAACTGACCCGAGAAGAAATAGAAAACCTGAACAGTCTCAACACTTCCCCATAAAGAAAATGCCAGACCCAGATGGCTCTAAACTGGTGGAAGTCTTCCAAACATTGAAAGAAGAAATAATACCTATCTTAGGCAGACTTCCAGAGGGAAAAAAGGATTACTTCCCAGCACATTTTATGAGGCAACAAAATCCTGATACGCTATTCCTGTCCTCAGTTCAGTGCAATGCAGGGTGGAGATGTATGTATGAACAGATGCGGTCAGTACAAAGTAATGTGGCCAATACAATACAAGGCTGTAGATGGGAGCACAAAGAAGGTAGCTGACTCAGCCAGGGCCCAGAGCGGGGATATGTTATGACCTGACAGCTGAGAGATCCCTAGGAGTGAGTCAGAGGGAAAGGTAGGAGGAAGACCCAAGCAGAAGAGACAGCCTGTGCAAAGGTCTTTAGGAGGAGAGATGCGACTCCCCTGGCAGTCCAGCAGTCATCACTCCGCCTTCCCATGCAGGGGGCCTGGGTTCAGTCCCTGGTCTGGGAACTGAGATGCCATGTGCCTCTCAACATGGCCCGAATAAGAATGTTTTTAAAAGTTTGATATGGCTAGAGGTGGGGGAGGCTGCCCCCTGGAAACTTTCCGTGACCTCTCCCCCCAGCTCCAAGGCCCCCCACGACTCTCAGCCTGCATTGCTGGCATGACCCATTGACCTTTCATGTCTCTAGCCAGAGTAAACCATCACCTACTCACTTGTAGTTCACACACAGGCCCCTGCCTCATTCCTAATGAGGGAGGCCAGAGAGGGTAAAAGGGGTTAAGGAGTGTCCCTTTGCCCCCTCACTCTCCTCCTGGCTTTGTCTCCTACAGAACAACCTCCCTCCCAGCATGATGACCCGCAGAAACACCTACGTTTGCACAGAACGCCCAGGGGCTGAACGCCCATCCTTGTTGCCAAATGGCAAAGAAAACAGGTATGGAGGGAGGGCAGCAACGGGGAAGGAGAGATGGGGTATAGGTGAGCAGGGCCCCCTGATCTAAGATGTTAGACATTGTGGGGACGGGGGAGTCTGCATGTCTGCCGTTCCTTTGGCAGAATATACCCATGTCCTCCCTGTCCCAGACCCCCCTGAAAAATCCTCCCCCCTTAATTAATTAGTCAGCAGCAGCAGCAAAGCAGTCTGCCCCACTCTCTGCCCACGAGCCTGGGGAACCTGAATTCATTTTTTTTTTGAATGATCCATTTTTAGAGTTGGAGAGAAGCCCTAGAATGTCACAGCTTCAACATCCTCTAGTTGGCGGGATTTCAAACTTACTTGCCTGAGTTGGTTCAGGCGCCTTCAGCTGGCAAGTGAGGGAAACCAGTGCAGGCTGGCTGGAGCATACAAAGAGAATGAATTGGTTCACATCACAGTTCAAGTCCCAGAGTGGGGCGGGCTTCAGGATCATGACACTCCCACCCATCAGGGCTAGAGGGTGTGACACCCAGGTGCACTCTGGGAAACACCCAATAAAGGGATGCAGGTGTCACTGTTTGGTGGGGGCAAGGTAACGGAGTGTTTGGAAGCGGTGATTCAGCTCTGAGTTCCGAATCTCGCCTCTGCACTCCACGAGCAAGATGACCATCGGCAGGTGTCTGAGCCTCCATTTCCTCCTGTGTGAGATGGAGCCAATGTTCTCTGCCTCCAGTCTCTTTAGAGGGATCCGGTGGAGATCAGGTGTGTCCTGTACCTCACACAGGGTCTGAGACACAGTAGGCATTCGATGAGTCAGAATTTATTTGGGGGTTATTAAATTAAAATAATAATAGCCAACATTTATCAAGCAGTAACCGTAGTCTGGGCCTGTATACATCAGCTGGTTGAATGCCCCTAACAATTCTGTGAGATCAATCCTGTATCTCCGTTTTACAGCTGAGGAAGTGAGGCAGAGATAGGTTAAGTAACTTGTTCAAAGCCACACAGCTGGTAAGTCAAGGAGCAAAGATTCCAGACTGACTCCAGAGTCTGTACTTTTAATCACTATTATAAATGGCCTCCAAGTCCTGGCCAAGAGATAGCATATAGTTAGGTTAGAGATTCAGGAGTGAAGAGACCCTAAGGCACAGTAGATGAGGTAGAGGTTTAGTCCTCTGTGATGCAACTATCCAGAAGTAGGAGGCAGGGTCCTCCAAGGATTCAGGACCAATCTTAACATGAGACTGCAGCTCTGGATCTGAGGCCACTGCACCCGTGGCCACCATTTCCCAACCAGCAAAATGGGTGGAAAGACAGTGGAGTGCAAACTGCTTTTCTGTTCAAAGTCATGACCCAGAAATGGGCCAGAGCACTTCTGCTTACATCCTATTGGCCAGAACATGGTCATATGACCATCCCTAGCTGCAAAGGAAGCTGGGACATGTAGTGTTTGGCTGGGTGGCCATGTGCAATGTTTATAGTCTCAGGGGTTTGGTTACTAAGAGTAAAACAAAGTGTATGGATTCTGGGTGAGAGGTAATGGTATCTGCCAATCAGGGCTCCCTCTTTGAGATCTGGCTGGTCCTGGGGTCCTTAGAAGGATATTAATTGGAGGTCTTACTTCTGCTGTGAGGACTGGGAGGGTCAGAGGGCCTGGGGAAGGTCCTGGGATAATGGAGCTACCCCTGCCTACACAGAATCTTGAGAATTAGAGGGAGGGTTCCTTCCTCTTTATTTCTACCTGTTGAAAATTTTCATAATGAATGTAAGTTTCCTTGATGTTCACATCTATTCCTCTCCCACGTTTGAATAATGAAAGTTCAGATAGCAAAGTGTTTGCACAATTGATGTGGTTCCTGAGGTTTGGATGGCAAGTATCAGGGTATTCATTTAAAAGTATTTCTAAATGTATTCAACTGAAGTTTGGAGAGAGGAGAGTTGGGATAGGGGATGGTTTGGAGGGGACAAAGCTTGAAGAATGGATGGTTTGAAGGAAGAATGATTTAGGAGGTGAGAAGGGTCAGTAAAATAATGCTAAGTTTGTATAGTGTACAGCCTGCACAACTCTACATGGCAGCCTTGTCTCTGAGTTCCAGACTGGTAGGGGTTTCTGATCTCAGGACAGACCAGTGAAGAATCAGAGGGACGGAGGACTCTGGCCTGCCTCAAAGCTCCACCCTAACTTGTACCTCTCTGCCCACAGCTCGGGTACCCCACGGGTGCCCCCCGCCTCCCCCTCCAGTCACAGCCTGGCTCCCCCATCAGGGGAGCGGAGCCGCCTGGCACGCGGCTCCACCATCCGCAGCACCTTCCACGGTGGCCAGGTCCGAGACAGGCGGGCAGGGGGCGGGGGAGGTGGGGGCGTGCAGAATGGGCCCCCCGCCTCCCCCACACTGGCCCACGAAGCCACGCCCCTGCCCACTGGGCGGCCCCGCCCCACCACCAACCTCTTCACCAAGCTGACCTCCAAACTGACCCGAAGGTGAGCCCCATGGGACTTGGGGGGCAGGGAGAAGGATGGGGGCTGATGGGACCTAACCTGTCTTCTGCTCTACTCTGCCTCCTGTACCCCGACACCTCCGTCTCCTCCTCCTCCTCTTCCTCCGTCACCCTTCACCTCCCTCCTCACACCACAGGGTTACCCTCGATCCCTCTAAACGGCAGAACTCTAACCGCTGCGTTTCGGGCGCCTCTCTGCCCCAGGGATCCAAAATCAGTAAGTCCCCTCCACCTCTGCTCTCACGGGTCCTGCCTCCCCGTTTGCATGTCTGACCCGTGCGCGGGCCCGGCGGGAGGGGCCACTGTGAGTCGGGTAGGGGTCTGTATGTGGGCTCTGGTCGTTCATTCACTCAGGTAATAAACAGCAGTCTGGCCTCTGGAGCCAGACTCGGGGTTCAGACCCTGAGCACTGCTGAGTGACCTTAAGCAAATGACTCAACCTCTCTGGGCCTCACTTTCCTTTTCCCTAAAATGGGGATAGTAATAACAGTATCTTCCTCATAGGGTTGTTGTGCAGACTAAGTGAGGTGATACATGGACTGAGCTGTGAATGTTGCCCCAGAAAATACTTTATAAGTGTTTTCTATCATTTTTATTCTTTTGAGTGTCTACTGTGTGCTTGGCACCATCGTCAGCCCAGAGTAAAGTGAACGAGAGGGATAAAATCCCTGCCCAGGGCATTCTACTAGGAGACCCAGACAGTAAACAATAAATAAAATATATAGACTATCAGGTAGTGGCAAGTACTAAGGAGAAAAATAGAGCAAGGAACTGGGATGGGGTGGTGGTGGTGGTGACGTGCGTGTCAGGGTATGGGGAAGGAAGGTACAGTTTAAATGGAGCAGGCCTCACTAAGGAGGTGTCATTTGAGCACAGGCTGAAGGAGGGGTTTGTGTGTCTGTCTGTCTCCTATATGTAGGTGTGTCTCTACCCACCCTGCCTCTCTTTTGTCTTCCAAATTCTTCAGTATCTTTCCTCCAACCTGCACTAACCATTTCTGAATGGGCTCCCCTTCTGGGTATGGAGAGGGAGATCAAATCCTGACCCCCAGCCCAGCTCCAGCCCTCAGGGAGAAACCAGGGCTGAGGCAAGGGCTGCCCTGCGTCCTGGAGGCAGTGGATTGAGGGAGGGGGACCCGCTTATGTCCGTATTAGACACTCATCCCCCCACCCTTCCTGTAGGGTCACAGACGAACCTGAGAGAATCGGGGGACCTGAGGTCACAAGGTGAGTGTGCCTCCCCTTTTGCCTCATACCCCTCTTGTGTAAGTACTTCTCACCACCCCCACCAGGCCCTTGGTTGGGGCCCGAGCCTCATCCTCCAAGGCCAGTTTCCTGGAATGCTCCTGTGACCCCCTCTTGTCTGCCACCTCCTTTTATGCACCCCCACATTGATTTCCTCTCATGTCCACCTCCATCCCTGAGCATCATCCTTTGACCATGTTTAATTTCAGCTTCTCCCATCTATAACCCACTCCTCCCCCAGTTGACACCACACCACCTTTCCCCTCTCATCCATTGAGGCACAACAGTTGCCAACAACCCTGAGCCAGTATAGAAACCTCAGTGGAAATAGGGAGCCTCCCCAGCAGGGCCAACAGTACCAGGACCGAATCTTACTGGCTAGAATTGGGTCACATGTCCATCCCTAACCAATGCCTGTGACCAGAAGGGTGGAGTACTCTGATTGGTCAGACTTGGTCACATGCTCATCTTTGAACCAATCAGAGTGGGGGAGGAGGTGTGGACTGCTCTCTTTGCCTGGAAGTGAGTCACGTGTTCACCCTTGGAGCTGAGAGCTGAGTCTGCCCAACCTAAACCAGAAAGACTAGATCTGCAATGCTTTTCAAGGAGAACACTCTTGGTATTTTAGGAGAGACATTTCTTTGTCAGGCAGGGCCCTCTCACACACTGCAGAATGTGTATCATTCCTGAATCATCCCCCACCCTGATAAATGCAGGCAGCACTCCCTTCCCAAGACATTTTGACAATCAAAAAGTCCTCTGAAATTTACTAATATCCTTTGGAAGACAGTACTGCTCCTAGGTGTGAGAAATCCCTAGTCTAGAGTGAGGAGAATTGGTTCTTCAACCGAAAAAATGATTATTACCAGAAGGAGGATGTATTAGGAAACAAGTTGAGCTGCTATAGGGAAGATACCCCAAAATACAAACAGGAATAAGTTTCTCTCTCACACAAGCCATGTGTCCAGGTCAGGCTGGCAGGGCCACTCTGTTGTGTGAGATCCTCCTGGTACCCAGGCTCTTACATCCTCTTCCCTAGAGCCCTGTCGTCTTCACAGTCCATGCCAGCTCGTGTTGCAGCCTCACAGGAAGTGGGGCAAGAGAGTCCAGGGCTTACGGTTTCCTTTGAAAGAGGTGGCCGGAGTTACATGGCCACGTCCTCGCACATCCAGGCCTTTGGAGACAAGGCCACAGCTGGCTGCAGGGGAAGCTGGGAAATACAATCTCCAAGTGGAGAGCTATTTGTACCATGGAAAGACTGTCCCTGGAGTAAAAGAGGTTTTGAGAAGACGTCTAGGAGAGCCTGTCCCCAAGTGGGAACTGGGGGTTACCTTCCTCTTCTCTCCCATCTCTAACCCATCATATCTTCCCATCTCAGTTGCCATCTACCTTGGGATCAAACGGAAACCGCCCCCCGGTTGCTCCGATTCCCCTGGAGTGTGAAACTGACCAGCTCGCGCCCGCCCGAGGCCCTGATGGCAGCCCTGCGCCAGGCCACCGCGGCTGCCCGCTGCCGCTGCCGCCAGCCACAGCCGTTCCTGCTGGCCTGCCTGCACGGGGGTGCGGGCGGGCCCGAGCCCCTGTCCCACTTCGAAGTGGAGGTCTGCCAGCTGCCCCGGCCGGGCCTGCGGGGAGTTCTCTTCCGCCGCGTGGCGGGCACTGCCCTGGCCTTCCGCACCCTCGTCACCCGCATCTCCAACGACCTCGAGCTCTAAGCCGCCACGGCCCCGAGTCCCCTCCTCTTCCTCGCCCCCTTCACTTCGACAGAGAAAGGGGGTCAAGGAGGGGATTCTCCCTTTGTCATCACCTCAGTTTCCCTGAAATGGATTTGGGGGCAGAGGTTGTCCCCTCTGTGTTCTCCGGGGCCCGCTGAGCAAGAGAGAAGAGCAAAGGGGCTTTGCAGGGGGGAGCTGGCACCTTCCTGGAGCCCCTAGCCTACCCAGTCCCCCCTCACCCTGCCATGGGGCACCTGAGGAGACTTTGGGGGCAGGGTGGGGCAGAAAAGAAAACTGAGGAAACTTCCATTCCCCGACAGCTCAAGAATTAGGCCTTGGGCAGGGACAAGAAGACTTGCTGAGCCTAAAGACTGAAGAATTGGGGGTGGGGGGGGCCCGGGAGTGGGGGTCAGAAAGGCAGATTCCTTCCCCTGCCCCTCCGCTCCTGCTCGAATCCCACGTTCCTGCCCCAGGCTGGCGCGGGGCACTTTGTACAAATCCTTGTAAATACCCCCACACCCTCCCTTCTGCAGAGATCTCTGGAGGAGCTGTCGCTCTCACCTCTGGTTTTTAAGTTATTACACCCCCCCACCCCCCTCCTGTCAGCCCCCTCACCTGCAGCCCGATGCCCAATAAACTTAGGAGAGTCCCCCCTCCCCCACGCTGACCCTGGGGTTTTCCTTCCCTGCCCTCACCTGCAAGTGAGATGAAGAGGAGGTGTGTGACTTTGGGCCAGTGGTTTCTCCTTTCTGAGCCTCGGTTTTCTCATCTGCAGAATGGGAGCAGTGGGGGTGTGGGGTCAAGGGTGATTGTGGAAGAGGGCAGGAAGGGACTTGGCCTCATCCACGAGGCCCCAGTTCCTATATTGGACCCCCGTTCATCCACTCACATACTCACCCACATGTTATACTGGACTCTAAGCCACTTCTTACTCCAGTAGTACATTTATTCAATAAACAGTCATTGACCGGTGCCTACTCCATGCCAGGCCCAGTGCTGGACACGGAGATGCAGGGAGCCCCTGTCTATGCGGGACGTGTGTTCTGATAAGACACTAGAGAAACCATTGCTTTTTGGAGCCGGGGTGGCCCAGAAGAGAAAGTGAGAGGGTTTGGGGAAGGCACTCCAGAGAAACTGATGCTGCATTTGAGCTCTGAAGGATGAGTGGGAGTTGACCAGGTATTGGGCATCCCCTGGGCACAAGCCTGGAAGAGGGAATGCATGGTATGGCTCAGAGAACTGTGGGTAGTTTCAGCATGGCTGCTGTGTTGAGGGTGGGTGGAAAATTAGCAAGAAAAATGCTGTATTAGGACTAATAATCCATCTACACCTAAGCAAAAAAGGTATTTGTTTGCTCATTTCATAGGCCAGGGTTGCATGACTTCAGATACAGCTGGATTCAGGCCACAGTCTGGCTCATCTCTGCTTTTTTCAGTGTAAGTTTCATTCTAGTAGTTTCATCCAGTAGGTGCCCGGTGTTAACGGTGACACCAGCAGTTCAAGCTTTTATCCTTCTAGCTTAGCGGCTATAGCAGAGTTCCTCATTGCCAACTTCAAGCAAAAGTCCCAAGACAGGCTCTCATTGGCCTGGGTAAGTCATGTGATCACCCCCAACCAGTCACTGTGACTCTGGAATGGCCTGTACCTAGGGCTGGACAGAGAGGGGTTCCTCAAAGGAAAGTCACGGTGTCACGATAAGGGAAGTAGAAGCATGACAGACTCAAGCAGAAAAGAGGTGTCCAGTGCAGGAACGCAGGGCATTTCACCAGAGCCTTGTGGGCCAAAGCATGCAGTCTGGGCTTTCATCCGACGGCACTGGGGAGCCACGGAGTGTTGCTTGCAGGATAGAAGCTTAGTTCAACTGCCTCACTTGCCTGTTTTAAGTCATGGTAGGGTCAACTGTTGTATTCTTCATGGGACAGGAAAGTCAAATGAGAACTGAAGGGGGCTAAAAAGAGTGGCTGGCTCAAGAGAAAAAGAGTGGTCAGTGTTGAAAAATTCAGGGTCTAAGGCAGAATCAAAAGCCTATCATGTGTTAGGCCATAGCAGGACTCTGCTGAAAGACAGGTGCTTGTAGTTGAGAGGGTAGAAAAATGAGGTGTGTGGCAGGGGAACCAACCCTGTCACAAAAACCTCTATTCCTGAGTTCTTCCTCGGTTCCCAGCCCTGGGCTGGGACACAGTGGGGGCCAGGAAAACCCCAGCCCTGCCGTCACATAGGGCTCACTGTCCAGGGGAGGAGGCAGCTGTGTCTTCAGTGATGACTCGAGTCGGTGAGGCTGGTTGGGGGAGTACAGAAGGGGAAAGTGCCCTCGCCAGGGAGGACTTCCTGGAGGAGGAGGCTCAGCTCCCCTGGGACAGGGAGAATGGTGAGTAGCTAACCAGACAGAATCGGGGGGCCTGGGTTGGGGGCAGGCATGAGTTCTAAGCAGAGAGAAGCAAGTACAAGTCCTTCAACAAAGGGCATGTGACTTGACTTGAGTGTGGCGTCACTGTGAGAGACGAGGCTGGAGGGCTGGTCGGCCTCGAAGGTCGTGGAGAGTTACCTGGGCTTTGTGCTGAGGGTACTGCGGAGCCACAGCAAGGTCATTGAGTAAGAGAGTGTCAGGGGCAGGCAGGCTTGTGCTGTGAAGGGAGGGAGGGAATCGGGTCAGAAGGGCAGGGGGACAGAAAGTGGGGAGGGAAGGAGTGGACTTCAGGCTTAGGAGGCAAAATGGGAGGGACAGACATGGTAGCTGACAGGTGCCTGGATGGCAGACTTGATGCTTGGACCATGGTCTGTGCTGTATGTGGCACTGCAAGTGGAGCTCAGATTAGTGATGGGATCTTCAGTTGGGGGCAGTATTGTAAAGCACATCCCAACGTCTACCAGACCCCGAGTGCCCTGACCTTTGGGGTCTCTTCTGTTTCCATAATCTCTCTGGAAACTCTTGGGGACATCCCTAGGCCTCAGTCTCCCCTCTGGAAAATGGAGAGATTTCCTCTAAGGGCCCTTTACCTGTGTGACTTAAGGATGGAAAATGTGCCTCCTCCAGGTCCCTGGCGGGCTCTGTCTTCCTAACTTTGCCTCACATTTTCTTCTAAAACCTTTGTCTCTTTGGGGGCCCACCCACTACCCCCTTGATAATGGAGGCCTCATCCTATTGGGTCAAGTAGAAGTGGTTGACCTGGCTGACACCCAATACGTGTTCAGATGTTTCTTGCCTTCCATTACCCACTTCTCCCATTCCCGACCCCAAGGCGACTTTCTGCTGTTTCCTGGAACCAAGCTCTCCAAAAGGCCTGTCCTCAAAGACTTCACAGGGATGCTGTGACCCAAGCTCCAGCCTGGAGGAAGAAACAGCTTGGGCGGACATTAGGGTGGGGATTGCACAGTGTAAGGAACGGAAAAATGTATAGAGGAATCATAAGAAAAGAACTGGAAAGAAGAGCCTTCGGCATATGGTACGTATTTGTTTGACCTTGAAGAAGCACACATAGTAGAGCATTCTAGGAGACGTTGGGAACCATGGCAGGTTCTTGAGCAAAGGAAGGGAAGTTGAAGAGGAGGGCAAATTCAGATATTTTGTTTGACCTCCGTTTCTCCCTAGAATGGATCCTGTGTTTGAGATCTGAGCATGAGTGATTGGGAGCAGAGGTTGGGAAGGGCCCAAGCTCAGTTTGTGACACTGGACCACACCTCTCTGGATCTCAGATTCCCCATAGAGCCTTATAATGTTTTAATTAGATGCTGTACCCTGAACTTGCCTCATTTTAGAGATGGGAAAAGATGAGAAGGGAATGGCTACCCACTCCAGTATTCTTGCCTGGAGAATTCCACGGACAGAGGAGCCTGGCGGGCTACAGTTCATGGGGTCGCAAAGAGTCAGACACGACTGAGCGACTAACGCTTTCACTTTAGAGGTGGGATAAAACGTGTAGCCCTAGGACATGCCTAGAGACGACAAGCCACTTTGAGGTCACATAGTAGCCAATTGCCGAAATTTTTCCTCCTCCTCCTCCTTCAGTACTAATAACTATCAAACACAACTCTAAGGCCACCATTGCTTTTATTTGTTGCTTTGAGTGGAGAAAAAGCAACAGCTCCAGGTGAGGTCTATTAGCCAGAGCTCCTGGTGGTGGGCGGAGCTTGAGGGAAAGAAGAGGAGACCGTAAGGGAGGTTTTTCATTGGCCAGAACCCAGAGGATGGAGCCCATTGGCTGGAACTCTGGTTGAAACTGGAACTAGAAGGATGCATAGAGCCCCAGGTGGACCAAACGTTTATAGGCTGGGCTCCAGGAGGAAGGGCGGGCCTCCGGTGGGCTGGGTCCTCCCTTGGGCTGGGGCTCCAGCAGTCGGCGGCGGGCTGGCTGTGCGCCTACTTCTGAGCGGGGATCATGTCGTCGATGGACTGGCCCTTCTCCAGCTTCTTCTCCATCTCCACCATGAGCTTCACACCATCCACCACCAGCTGCACCTGTTCTACCTCCGACGAGCCCAGCCGGTCGGCGTTGGACACGTCGAACACTGAGCCCACGGCAGCCGTGTCCACACCACCTGTGGAAGTAGGAGGCAGGGGCTAAGGAGCCAGCAGAAATGCTGGAGCGGGGCCTGGAACGCGGGCCGCCGTGCCAACAGCGCAGGCGGACGTACTGGGTGAATGCCTACTGTGTTAAATGCATGCAGTTTCCTGAGCGTCTGTCTATTCTCGGGCTGGCTTTAGGTACCTCAACCATCCAACATTGTGGGTAACGGAGTTGAGTTCAGGAGCCGGGCTGCCTGGGGTCGAATCCTGACCATCTTCCCGTTTACAGACGGGAAAGTGAGGCCCCTAGGCGGCCAGGGACATACACAGTGTATATTAATCATATAACCATGATGGTATATGGACTCCTCTGAGATAAGGCGTGCTGATGCCTATTTTCAGAGGAAGAACTGAAACTCACAGAGGAGCAGCTCTTGCCGACCCCCAGAACCCGTGGGGATGCCCCTGCTCCCCTTCAGCCGCCACTAAGGGCCAGCCCTGGAAGCCGCGTGAGGGGAACATGGCCGCACCTGTGCCTCGCTTCTGCAGGCGCAGGCGAGTGAGAATCTCCTCGAACTTGGGATGCTTGCTCAGGTGCGCCAACTTGACATGCACGCCTCCACGCAGCCCGGTGCCCAGGTTAGATGGGCAGGTGAGCACGTAGCCCAGGTGCTCGTTCCACATGAACGGGTGGCCGGCTTTCTTGAATATCTCCTCAATCTGAGGTAGGTGAGAGGACCCAGGATCAGCGCTGCAGGCACCCCCAAATACACCCACCACCCGGACAGGGATCCGAGGGACGGGGGTGAGAATGTCGGTGGTGGTAGGACTCCGAGAGGGCGGAGGCACGAGATTCTCGGGGCAGGGACCCGACCACACAAGTGATGGCTGGATTCTGAGGGGACGAGGGGCTTGAGGACTCCTTGAAGGCGGGTTCTTGTCCGCGGGGCTTGAGGACAGGGGTGGGGCCGGTTTCCCAAAGGGCGGGGCTTTGGAAAGCGAGGGCGGAGCACCGCTGAGGGGCGTGGCTTCGGCGCGGGGAGGAGAAGGGTTCCGAGGGGCTGGGGGCGGTCACGTGGAGTCACGCGAGGGCAGGCACCCACCTTCTGCAGCCCCACGCAGAAGCGGCGGAAAACCTCCTTCATGTTGCCCCCCTTCTCCATGGAGATGACTCGGAGGTGGTCCTCCTCGTTCACCCACACCAGGAAGCTCTTGTTGTCATTGTGCCTAGCATCGGGCGCAGCGAAAGGTCAGGGGACCAGCTCCGCGGGAACCCCGTTCCCCTCCCTCTTGCAAACACACGTCCACCGCTAGGGGGCAGCGGGCCTAAAGAGCACGAGGGCTGAGCATCAGTCTCAGCAGCTTACACCTCTAAATGTCACAGGACCCGTGAAATCTCGAATCGTGGCATCAGTGGCTTTTAGGGTCTTAGTTCTTTGCACAATATTATAGAATATTAGAATCAATGA